TTGGCTGCAGTGAAAGGTGTACAGTTTTAGGGCTTCCCTGGTGGCGCAGTGGTTTAGAGTCTGCCTGCCGATGCAGGGGACACAGGTTTGTGGCCCGGTCCAGGAAGATCCCACATGCCACGGAGTGGCTGGGCCCGTGAGCCATGGCCGCTTAGCCTGTGCATCCGGAGCCTGTGCTCCGCAACTGGAGAGGCCACAACAGTGAGAGGCCCGTGTACAGCAAAAAAAAAAAAAAAAAAAAAAAAAAAAAAAAAAAAGGTGTACAGTTTTAAAACTAAGAAAGATCTGAGCTAAAGAAAGATATGGATGGACATTTCTTCTGGGATTGGTAACAGCCTGATTTCACTTCCAAAAATCTTAATTCCTAGATTTATTTCCAAGTGAGACCACTCTGGGTCAGTTCTTCTTGCTCTAAACTCAGTTTTTACTTTTTCTCCACAGTAGTCTTGCTCCTCCATGGGCTTATTCTGGTCTTTAGATCTTTCTGTGTAGAAGCCCTTCCTTTTATTGTGTGGACCAAACCTACAGGAAGTCTGCACTGAGTGTGTAGTTAAAATAATGTCTGTGATGAAAACAATAACAGGATATTTATTAACTGATGCTGGTGTCTTTTAATCTCTATATATTTATTTTAAAAGGTGTGTGTGTGTGTGTGTGTGTGTAAATTTTCAGAGGCACACAAAAATAGAGGAACTATACAATGAACCTAAGTGGACCCATCACTCATCATTTTTCTGCCATTCTTGTTTCATCTAATAGGGTTTTTTGTTTGAGTATTTTAAAGCAAATCATAGTTATTCTATAACTTTATTTGTAAATAATTCTATAAGTTTCTTTAAAAGGTAAGGACTTTTAAAACAAACAAACAACCACAAAACCATTGCAAAACCCAATAAAATTAGTAGTTATTACTTAATAGCGTCTACTACCCAGCCCTATATTCACCTACTGATTTACTTTTCTCTTTTTACAGTTAATTTGTTCAAAAACAACATCTAAAAATTGCCCACACATTGCATTTGGTTTGTGGGTCTCCTCCACCACTTGCTGAATTCTCAGTGTAGGTGACGTCCTTTACAGACATCATCTTAATCTAGCCTTGTAGCGTACTTCAGAGGTAGGAACCATCGTCTTTGTTTCACCAGTCTGAGACTTTAGCAAGAGCATTTAGATGGTGTGCCTCGACTTGTATAACCTCACAGGGACAGAGGCTGTGTGAGGACCCAGTATTCAAAGTGATTCTTCTCTCATGCTTTTCCACTTCCCCCATTCCTTGTGCAAGCCGGGTCTTTTGTTTCCTTATGTCTGCCACTTTTGTCACTATGTCATATAGCCTCACATATCGTTTGTCCCCCTTCAGTGTGTTTGACAAATCTAGATCTTCCAGAGAGCCAGAGTGCTTGTACCTTTTGATGAAACTAATAGAGCAACCATAGCCTCAGATGGTGGCTTCCTTTGTTATTTGGAATTTTTAGCTATTGAGGCAGATCTCTATCATCTTGGTTTTAAATGCATAGTCACTTCTAAACAGCCCAATAAGTTCCTCTGTTCTTTCCACATAGTGACATCAGCTCATAGCTCCTCATTTTCAGAGCAGAGATAATGGCCATCCCTTTAACATGTTGAAGGCTCCAGCTTTCTCTGGCTTAGGTTGTGAGTTCACATTCCTTGCTTTTTTTGATGATCTATCACTCAGATGCCCTCAAAATATTCTCTATGGTTTTAAAAGAACACAAATACTTTCCATGCATGTTTACAGTAAAAGATATGATTCCTGGCAAATAAAAGTCAATGCTCAGTCATGTTTTTCCTAAATTTTGGAATTGTAAGTGATTTTTTTTTTAGGACAATAACATACCAGCTTTGAATAAAATAGATTCACATGTAAGGCAGTTATTTTATTTTTAATCCTTTTTAATCCATGATCTTCTGAGTAGATCTCAGATTGGTTTTTGCATGTTTTTATCTCTAACACTTGCAAAACTTCCCTGTTAACAAACAGGGAACAACTCTCAGGCTCAGAGATCTTGACTGGCAAGAGAATATAATAGAGTTTTGCTTTAACTGTGTTTTTAAGGTTTCCGTGTGTTTATACATGTTATATAGTATTTCCGCCTATGAGTGAAATATGGTTTCTTTTAAAAATGTAGCTGTGTAGGTAAAAAAGTAATTCTAAAGAAAAATGTTAAGTAATAGCAGCTATTATTTTGAGTACTTATTACATATGGTGCCCTGCTCTGAGTTACATGATATGGCTAAAGGTTTCCTTTAATGGCACTATGAAGCAGATACTATTATCATGGCCATTTTATGAATGAGGCAAGCAAGGCACAAACCTATAAAATCACGAGGTTAAAGGTAATGTGATTAGGAGTTGAGCTCTTTCCCTCCATCTAATACTGCTTCTAAGTCCAGAGCAGTGATGATGATATTTGTGAATGGTGAGCATAATGCAAGAGGTACTAGAATGGCCTAGGGAAAGACTTACCTCACATCCTTCACTTTATGTATGTTTTAACTTATAGGTTATAAATAAAGGATCCATAGTCTTATAAATGTTAGCTTAAATATTATATCTGCCACTTACTGTGTATGTTTTTAGTCAAACTATTTTATCTCTCTAAACCTCAGTTTTCTAGGGAACCTTCCTACACTGTTGGTGGTAGTGTAAGTTGGTGCAGCCGCTATGAAAAACAGTATGGAGGTTCCTCAGAAAACTAAAAATAGAATTACCATATGATCCAGCAATCCCACTCCTGGGCACATAACCAGACAAAACTATAATTCAAAAAGATACATGCACTCTTTTGTTCATAGCAGCACTATTCACAATAGCAAAGACATGGAAACAATCTAAAGGTTCATCGACAGATGAATGCATAAAGTAGATATGGTACATGTATATACTGGAATACTACTCAGCCATAAAAGAGATTGAAATAATGCCATTTGCAGCAACATGGATGCAACTAAAGGTGATCATACTAAGTGAAGTAACTCAGAAAGAGAAAGACAAATATCATATGATATCACTTATATGTGGAACCCAAAATATGACACAAAACAGAACCAGACTTATGGACATAGAGAACAGACCAGTGGTTGCCAAGGGGGATGGGGTTGGGAGAGGGTTGGATTGGGAGTTTGGGATTAGCAGGTGAAAACTATTATATATAGAATGGATAAACAACAAGATCCTACTATATAGCACTGGGAACTATATTCAACATTCTATGATAAACCATAATGGAAAAAAATATGAAAAAAGAATGTGTATATATATATATATATATATATATATATATATATATATATATAAAACTGAGTCACTTGGCTGTACAGCAGAAATTAACACAACATTGAAAATCAACTATACTTCAAGTAAAAAAAATAAACTTCAGTTTCCTCAGTTGTAAAGTAGGTATAACAACTACCTCACAAGGTTATAGATGTACTAGACTCTACCAAGATTATATATTTTCAGTTATTAGAATAATTACTGGTACATGGTAAGTAGTTAAAATAGCAGCTGATATCATTATCTGGAGGCAATAATATTTATGATTTAAGTCAGGGCTTTAGACAGACCTGGATTTCAAGATTAGTTCCATGTTACCTTGGAGAAGTTACATCTGTGAAATGGGGATGACAATTCTTCAGACTACTGTTAAGGGTTTGGAATGAAATAATACAGTTACACATTTAGCTCATTTGTTGGCATCTACCCTGCCTGGTATTCTCTGAGCTTCTTGGCTCTGTGGTTTGGTGTCTGACATTAATTTGGGGGAAACCCTCACTCATTATTGCTTCAAATACTTCCATTTCTTTCTCTTTTTCTTCTTCTGGAATTCCTATTATCCATATGTTTTCATAGTTGTTTCACAGTTTTTGTATGTTGTGTTTTTCTCTTTGCTTTTCAGTTTTGGGGTTTCTGTTGAGATACCCTCAAGCTCAAATTCTTTCCTCAGCCATGTACATGTACTAATAATCCTTTTAAAGACAGTCTTCATGTCTCTTACAGTGCTTTTGATCTCTACTATATCTCTTTGGTTCTTTCTTAGAATTTCCATCTCTCTGCTTACATTGCACATCTGTTCTTGTATGCTGTCCACTTTTTCCACTAGAGCTCTTAGCATATTAATGATAGTTTTAAAAAATTCTTATCTGATAATTCTAACATCCTTGCTATATCTGAGACTGGTTTTGATACTTGCTCTGTCTCTTCAAACTGTGTTTTTTGCCATTTGGTATGTCTTGTAATTGTTTTTCTTGATAGCTGAATGTGATGTACCGGGTAAAAGAAACTGCTGTAAATAGCCCTTCTGTGATGTGGTGGTAAGTGTGAAGGCAGGGAAGTGTTCTATAGGCCTGTAACTAGGTCTCAGTCTTCAGTGAGCCTGTGAACTTCAGTCTCCCTGATTCTCAGTCTCGGTCTCCTCCCCACCCCCAGCTTTGGAGGGACAGGATGGCTAGAGGGGCCTGAAGTTGGGTATTTCCCTTCCCCAGGTCAGTTAGGCTCTGATAAAACACCAAAAGGTTAGGCTTTGGTTAAATAGCTTCTTCAGAGGGCAGGCCTGGCTCAGAACAGAGTGTTTGGGGATATTTCAGAATGCTTCCTCACCCCTCTCCCTGCAGGAAGCACAACGGGATTTCTTTCAGGTGTTCACTATGAGAACCCGATTGAGCTCCTGGAGGTAAAATTCACAAAAGTGTGGAAACTCCCCCCCATGACGGGGTCCCCCTGGAGTTTACAACTCTTGGACTTATCCGTACTGAGCCTCTAGCAATTTATCAATGTTGGTTCAGGTTTCCTTACCCTGGCCCTAGTTCCCATGGTGGTTTGTGCTTGTGGGTTTCTGCTCTGGTAAGTTGGGATTCTCTGTATCTGCCTGTCAGTCTCTTAGAATTTGGCACAGAGGTTTGCCCTGTGACCTTACTTCTCTGATAGATTTAAAGAGAGTTGTTGATTTTTCAGTTTGTTCTGCTTTTTTACTCTTTAGGACAGAGTGGCAACTTTTAACCTCTCACATGTTAGTCTGGAAACCGAAAGTCTAGCCCACTTCTTCATGCCAGTATGTCCTCACCCAACACTGATATAAGTTCTTATTTGATTTGTATTATGTTGGACCCATAACTGAAGCACAGAGTTTTTATGCTGTCATTAATCTTTTGTATCAGATTACTTCTTTGATCAATATTCTAATGTATTTACAATGTAAAACCACTAAGAATCTTATAGGAGTCATACATTATCAATTTGAGACTATACAATTTATTATTATGATTCAATAAATGAACTCAAGCAAATGTCAACTGTTACTTAGTTGAAGAGGTCTCTATGTGAAATAAATACAGAGCAGAGTAAGCAGTGAAAACTGATACTTGGTTGGCTATGGTATTGTGAAGTCTGGTAAAATCTGTGGTAAAGATACATGGAAATATACTAATTATGCACATTCCCTTGGTTTATTATTCATACCACTCTCACTTCTATATCTTCTAACTACAAAATAAATGACCTATTTATCAGAAAAATCTACAATAAGTGCGTGGAGGTGGGAGGAGTATGGGGGTTAAGGCTGGATGGAAGAGTTGTTGCCACACGATATTAGAGTAATCACCTGTGAAAATCTCTTCATGGATAAGTGCCTTAGGGCAGATGATAAAAATGCTAATGCCAGCATCACATTTTTTTGTTGTTGGATGTGTTACAATGACATTTAGCTGTAAGGTTGGGAAGCATCCATGTTAGGTGGTGCTTCAAGTATCAGAAAGTTCTTAGCATGTTACCTTACACAAAAACTGGTTCTTCAGTAGAGACTCCAAGAGCCAGTAGGCAGGTAGAAATTAAAGAAGAAAACTCTACCACTTGTTATTTCTATATCCATCAAATAGCAATAGTATATTCTTGTAGGTGCCCCTGAAATTAGTGACCACCCAAGTTACAATTTAAAATAGGATATTGCCATTGACCTGTAGATGGACATTTAGGTTGCTTGCATGTCTTGGCTATTGTAAATAGTGCTGCAATGAACATTGGGGTGCATGTATCTTTTAAAATTATTATTTTCTACAAATATATGCCCAAATGGAATATTACTTAGCCATAAAAAAGAATGAAATAATGCCATTTGCAGCAACATGAATGGCCCTAGAGATTATCATACTAAGTGAAGTAAGCCAGACAGAGAAAGACAAATATCATATGATATCGCTTATATGTGGAATTAAAAAAAATACAAATGAACTTATTTTATAAAACAGAAATAGACCCACAAACATAAAAAACAAACTTATAGTTACCAAAGGGAAAGGTGGGGGGAGGGATAAATTAGGAGGTTGGGATTAACATATACACATTACTATATATAAAATATATTAACAACAAGGACCTATTGTATAGGACAGGGAACTCTTCTCCCTCTCTCTCTCTCTCTCTCTCTCTCTCTCTCTCTCTCTCTCTCTCTC